TTAGAGGAAAGGGTAGGTATCGCATACTCTACACCGGTAAGCACAAAGCTGGAAAGAATGCAAGCGAATGCGATCTGCTTTAAGGGGAGCCTAGAAAGCAACCAGATGAGCAAGTCCAGGGAAAAGCGTCATAGGAAAGACTCCATGGTGGGTGAAGGAATCTCAGGAGTCTCAGAACAGAGGCGTTACTGACTTGGACTATCGCCTCCATCTCCACTTCCGATATTCACGAAGCCTGAGTGTACTTTCATCATCCATCATCCTTACCAAGAGCCATTGACCGGGACAGACAAGAACAGAGGAAATTGCATGAGAGAACACCACCACGCTCCTACATCATCGCCAATAGAAGAAAAATAAGCTGCTGGTCTCAGCCTTCACCTCCACTCACAACGAAGCTTCTCACAAATGGATAAGCTTTTCAACTCCCTCAACTGGCAAAATGAGGTACTCCATTCCACTGTCACCAAGGCGTCCAGTGAATGTTTGGTTCCTTTTTCAATGGTGAGGCAAGCACTACAGCCCATAGCCCATGTACGATCTCCACCACAACTAATTTTCCAGTTGAAACAAATTCCCTATCCCTCCTAGAAGGGGGTGAACCTACAAGCAGTCAGGAAATAAGGAAAGAATAATCAAATCGCAAAGAGAAGATACCAACTTAGGCAGGAGGAGAACGGTGAGGACCTTGTCCTGCAGGACTGGTCAGCATCACATAGAGGGAGTACTAGGCGCACCACAACGAAATCTTCCAACTACACAAATACCGTTTACTTCAGTGAAAAATGTTGCCAAATGAGTGCCGAATGCACAGGCTGAAGTCAGAGTGGAGTGGCTCACTGAAGGCATAGAACTGACAGCAGTTGTACAGCACTTATTTTTATTTCACAATGAAGGAAAGCACAGTCAACGGTGCACTTTTGATGCGAAAAGAAAAAAGAAACACCCACGTATCTAGCGCACAAGAGGGTATACATCCGTATCGTGGGAATATCAGCACACATCGAATGAAAAAGGCGTCTGACTTGCGTCTTTTCTATGTCACATCCCAACCAAGTCATTATTATTAGGTACACGTGAGCTCCCCACTACCAACCCTGAAAGGGTGATTTTAAGGGCACGCGTTTGCTGTTTTGAGTGAATCGCAAACAAAGCCACTCAGTTGTTGTAAAACACACGCTCAAGTCTAACATTTCCGAGAGCAAGTGTTTTAGATAATCGTCACTTGTGACAATGAGCCTTCCCCAACAATTCCGTGGTACGATTCCATTCAGGTAGTCCAGGTGAGGTGGGTTGGCAAGACATTTACTTTGATACGGAATCACCCAACAAAGCTGTCTGTGCACCAATAGTTGGCAATGATTAAAGGTGGCTAAATATACCAACCGGCCAAAGGCTCCGACCGACTGTCAGACTGAGTGGAGGGGAAACGACAAGCGTCGGGACACAGTTAAAGCACCTCGTTAATGCGACGATTTGGGGTCTGGAAAACAGTTGCCTGACCCATTGGGGATAAAGCACAAGGTGCAGGGATAAATGTCAATTAAAAGGGGCAAACAAATCGGTGCATCACATGGTCCCAATGGCACTGATTCTAGGCTTCCAACTTCGCTCTGCCGTAATGACAAGACTAGACGCAGCTGTAGAGGTTGTGTGCAGTGATAACTCTAGAACTTTAATGCACCTACTCTGAACACAGAAAATTCTTCTCGAAACCAGGAGTAAATTCTGAAAAGACTCTCGTGTCACCATGACTACAGGCAAGCAAACAAGGCACCCTCATGACTTTAAGACGGCAAAAGCACCAGATTGCTTTCATGAAACCATTAAGGTTTTGGAAATGAGTTCTCTCCTCCACCCTCAATTTCCATCAGCTGCGCCAAACTCGTGTCCGTGACTCGAGCTTGTCTGCTCGTCTCCAATGCTGCAGAAATCTCACACCAAACTGGTTGCATAGCATTTGGACAGCGTATTGCGAGGAGTGGCAGTGAACGCTCCAAATCACTTCAGGGTAGGCACATCACGTACAGGTTGGACCTTGTTCCCAGTCCTTTTGGCTTAAAAAGTTGAGGATGAGAGTGCTAGGATCAACAAATAACAGCAAGCTTTTCTCATGTTTTTTTTTACCGATTGACTGGCCGCTGTGTGAAGAGGAATGATGTAGCGCATTTGCATTCCACATTTGTAATTCCTTGCAGCTCTACCGCCATACACAACGCCGCCTTTAAGCCATCGAAAATGAAACAGAAGAGAGTAGAATATTGAAGGCAAAATGTTAGCGATTTGACCTGTGTATAGCCAAGGCGTCCACCAAGTGGTTATCAAGGGAGCAAGAGCATGGAGACTACAACACATTCATCTTAGACTGTTCCGTAGTAAATTACCTAAACGTGTCCAGTACCACGCGTAGCTTCCTCCTATCAAGCGATAAACGCATAATCAAAGTCACTCTCTTTCACCTCATCCACATCACCAAATAACGCCCCTTCAATAAGTCTTCTGTTTCACACACCTCTCCTTCCATTCAATCCACTATTCCTCCCCCGCTTCACCCACTTCTACCCCCCTCCCCACCTCTATCGCCTTCATGCCACGCCACGCCACGACATGCTAACGTATGCCACTCACCTCAACCACTTTCACCTCCCATTTCGTCACCCAACCACACCAAACACAACTCCAACACCTTACCTTCCTCCCACCAACCACCTCCTCCCTCCTCTACAACACACCCACCTCCACACAACATCACCAACGCTGTCAATGACAATAATTGTAGTGATGCTGGTGATGGTGCACCTCTCCTCAATGTCTCGCATTTGTATACTTCCGCCTGCAAGTGGGCCGCTTTCACGACCATCATGCCAACCAAATGGCGGGCATCATCGCCGCCACCACCACCGCCACCACCATCATCATCGTCGTTGTCACACAGCAGCGTTACACTTGCAACATCCGCACTCCATTGGCCACTTGTGGGGATCAATCCTGTTGGCCGGACATGCGCAACACTGGGGCGTGGGCAGAAAATAAACGGTAGTTGGGGCATAAGTAGCCCTTCTGCAGCAATTTATGTATCTACAAGATCAGCTATCAAACGTTCTCAACTATGCCAAGCCAGTCTCTGTGAATGTGCACTGCATTGTTTGGCATCACTAATGTATGATGTCACTAGGTCATGCATGCAAGTGCCCGCTAGATTATTTACCTCGGTTAAACACCGTAAAATGGAGGAGAGCTAATCTTTGTCTGAAGCTAGTTACTATTTTCCACTCCTTTAACATGCTAAGTAAAACACACATTTCCGGCCAAGGTGGTTAACGGTAGTGAATGATTTACTTGCACACACAAATACACCAGCATAACCCCTTTTTGCATGGATGATCCTCTACTGACTTTGGTGGAGAAGTTGGTTGCCTGAAATGTGGTGAAAACCCCAAGAATCTGTAAATAATGGAGGAGGCATTTTATGAGGGCCAGCCTCGCACCATCGAGAGAAGCACCGCTGGCTCGTTTTTT